GCGTCCGTTTCTGCCCTTTGCCCGCCGTCCCCTTCCTTGCTCTTCCACAGGCGAGCAGTAGGAGAGTTTCACGGCCCCGCTGGGACCCAGCATGAGACACGGGAACCCCGGAGGCGGCATGGCAGTGCGCTGCACTTGGGCCGTTACTGTTCCCACCTCCACCCGCTGGTCAGCAGCACTGTCTTGTGGAAATGCTTTGGAAAGCAGCTGAGAAAACACATTTGGATGGGTAAATTAGAACATTAAGCAGAGCACAGCATCATCTCTGTGGTTTCTGCCTGGGGATATGCTCAAGCAGGGGTCTGCAACCACTGCTGGCCCCTGAACCATCATGACACACTGGGGAACGGTCCCTGTTGGCCTGAACGACACTTAAAATTCTATTTTTGTTTTCTCCCTGAGCAGTATTGGAGCATATTGCAAGCAGTGCGTTGCCCACACGCCCTGGGCTGAGGACAGCTGGTAGGAGGCTCTTGCCGAGAGTGAGAAACTGCTGCGGGGTGAGCAGGGAGGACATAAGGGGACAAGAGCAAACGCAGGCTGGAGGGAGTGTGACTTGCAGCAGTCGGATTGAGACGTGGCCTGGTGCTACTCTGGTAAATTGTTTCAATGATCTATTAGCAGCTCTGATGAAGAGAGTGTCTGAAAAGATTAGCATCATTGTCTTTTCGGCCCTGGGATACTGGTCTGAATCCAATTTTGTCATTTTGATGAGAAAACCGTAGTAAAACATGTGAGTGATACTGGAGTTAGCGGGGAAGGCGTGTGGACATCCTATGAGTGCACGTTGTCTTCTCTGACTCACCAGCTAGGACACACCTGTAAAACATTGCTGGCTTCATTTGGTTGTGAAGGTCAAGCCCAAGACTGTCTCTTGAGACGATTGGAGATCTTTCGTTGAGGAAAGGCCAGGTCAGGAAGACGGTCTTTAGTCAAAGGCACGAGAAGGGCATGGGAGCCGAGGCAGAGAACTGCAGTCTGGAGCAGAGGCGTGTGGCTCTGAGGCTGCTTGAATCCAGCTGGAGAGCGTGAACCACCATGAGTTTGTTTAAAGTTAATCATAAGTGGTTTTACCTGAAGCAGAGAAACTTTTGGAACATTAATGCTGGTCAAAATACCATCCAAAACAAAAGATCCTATGTCACTGTATCAATACTTTGTGGAGCTTCAAGAAAGAGCTATTTTTAGGTGCTTTTTGATTTTTTTTTTTTTTTTTTCAAAACCAACTATAACTAAAACCAAAACACTTTACTTTTGGTAAAATCCCATTCTCTTGGATATGAATAATCTCGATAATAGTTTTGGTAAAGTAACTATTAAAGGCTTCTCGGAAAAGCTTTGGGAGTTTTATTCCTTTTTGAAGGAAACTTGTCACCTCTAAAAGCCGTGGCGTGTCTGAACTGCTGGGCTGCAGCTGAGCTCGCTGGCAGCCCTGTTAGCTCTGGGTGGTCTGGTGCTTTAGCAATGGGACGGGTTCCCTCTCCAGTCTGTCTCTGCTTCGCTCCAGACGCTCAGCAAGTGTAAGGTGTGATTGTGGCTCTGGTTGCTGATGCAGACGAGTTTTCCATCGAGGAACTCGTGGCTCAGGGTGGCACTGATGCTAATGGCAGGCTGAGATGTTCACAGGGCGGAAATGCTCTGGCGCGATGACGGCGGTCGCGTTAGTGCAGTAGGAGCCGTCCCTGCCCGGCTGTCCTTCATGCCTGGGTTGCGGAGCGTGGTGTCAAAGCTAGGCATGGGCCGGAGGGGCAGCTGTGAGCTGCTGTGAGTTTTGCTGTGCAATTGCTACCCTCCCTGCCTTTCACAGTGCCTTTCGTCCTCCTTCCAAGGTGATACCTCTGATTCATTGAAGGGCCTGATAGAAACAAACACTTCTCTTTTGATGAGGCTGTTTCATGCACAGATACGACCTGCCAGCTGGCTTCTTCCAAAACGCATTATTTATTTTAGCAGCATTAGCAGATTATCAGGGCTGAATAAATCTGCATGTCTGAGCCGGATGAATTTTCTAGGCTCTACATCCATAAGAGTTTCTGTGTGCCTGCCAAAAGATGGGAAGCTCAATGAGAGGGTCAAGCGCTGGCATGTGAGTGTGACAGCCTGATACTGCCTTGTGACGGTACTGCCCGCCCTGTCGGGATGCGGGGAGCCCAGGCTGTCGGGGAGCAGATGTGTCCGTTCTGCCTTGGGGGAGAAGAGAATGCTGTATGGTAAGGGTGTATTTCATAGAAAAGACGACAGAATAATTAATGTTTGAAAAGAGAAAAGAAAATACATTGCTTGGGAAGCAGAGAATTACGTTGCCTTTTGGGGGAGTGTTAGACCCGATCTTCATTGAGCATCTTCACTGATGTATGGCTTTCAGGTAGGAGCGGGACCCGCTCTCTTACTGAGCGGTTCAGGTACTGATGCAATTAGCTATGCGTATCAATAGGGCTGGATATTTTTTCTCCTGCTTGGAAACAGCTTTCTCAAAATAAGTAATATCTGTGGGGATGTGGCTGAGCGGTGTTTGTGTGGACAGAATAGTGCGATCCTCTAGCAGAGGCCCCAGAATAGCCTGGTAAGAGTCACGCTGATGGAGGGAGCTCATCAGGTTTTTAAGGTGTTTACGTGAGGCTCTGTGGGGTCAGAGAATCAGGTGGCTTGCTAAAGGAAATGTGGCTCAATATCTGTAATTAAAATTCAATAAAAATAAAATTGAGGACGCTTACCGGCAATGATAAGGTCCTAAAAATGACGTTAAGATGAATTACACCTATATTGAGTTCAGTTTGCAGCTAAAGAAATGTATTAGAATGGCATTAAATCACTGCATTAATATTAAGAGACTAAATCTGCACAAACTCAAATAAATCAAAAAGGAGACTGCCGTTTGACTGTGAGTGATAGGTAAAAAAATTTTACCATGACTGTTCAAATCTGTAATGTGCCAAGTACCCAATACTGAGATTGAATCATCTTTTTGTTCCTGGGCACAGTGTAGGACCAGAAAGCTTTCTTGTGATACTTTTTCCTGCTGGCAAATATTTTCCTCCTTCCTATAGCAAAGAGAACAACATCAACAAAGGTTTATCTGTAAGCAGCACTCTGAATCCCTAAGCGAGAGAAATTACAGTGGACTAACTCGAGCTGTGTGCTGCCGCACAGCCTCCCAGGGCTCGAGGTAGGACCCAGGCTTCAGAGCTGTGTTCTCTAGTCCATTCAGGTGCAGTGATTTTTAGGCTGGGAAAACTTTCTTCTTTGCATAAGCAATTTTCAGGATTTTTAGGGACTCAGAATTGGTAAATCTGTAACATCCCTACCCTGTAATACACAAAGCTGGTGAATTCAGTGTTCAGTTATCACCGTTTTCTGTGGGAGAATATTACTCTGTTGATACCTGTTTATGGAAAATGTAACATTAAGAAAATTAATAACCGCGAGTCATTCAAGATAAAGCTGCAAATTTAATTAAGACTTATTTTTTTTAAGCTTTCTTCCTTGCACCTAGGCTTTAGCAGAGGTAGGCTGAAAAAAGTTTAATTCATATGCTGATTTACTTGAAATATGAACCTTTAAAACCACCCTCCTACTTTTCAATCTTTCTTTTCTCAGCACAAGTATCTAAGTAGGAGCCCCTAGCGCAGAGGCAGCTGCTGCTCGGTGAAAAGTACTCTCATAGCAGTGATCAAAACACAGCTTCAAACATTCCTGACTTACGCTCTCCTAGAGTCTACTCAGCACGCTGAAAGCTTTAGGTGTACGTACGGAGCAAAAGGTGTGATTTAATCTTATTTCTCCATGGAGGGAAAAAAAATCTGTGCTGGTGGCAGCCTAGCAGAGAGATGAGACCCTCTCCTGTGCACCACACCACCGCCGGGAATCGATGTAGGATGCGTAGGTAAAAGCGGAGGGTTTTTTCTGGACAAAACGCTTCTCCTTTGAGAGGTTTGCTGGGAAGGCTGTTTGCTCCATCCTAGCAAACCCCGCGTGGAGACAAGCTGAAGAGTAATGAGTGCCTTCCTGGCTCAGCTTGTCCCCTTCATGGCCTGTCCCGGTGTTGCTCAGAACTGCCGGCTGAAAGAGCACGGGACCGAAACCCCGTCAGTGCAGATCTTGGTTCTTTACAGAGGGCAGGTGTGAGCTGCGCTTGGAGGGCTTAAACTCCTTCATTACCTCACAAGTAACTTCGTGCAATTAGTTGAAATATGTTTTCATATGTATCCTGGGCTGCATCAGAAGTGTGGCCAGCAGGGCGAGGGAGGGGATTCTGCCCCTCTGCTCTGGTGAGATCCCACCTGGAGTACTGCCTCCAGCTCTGGAGCCTCCAATGTAGGAAAGACATGGACTTGCTGGAGCAGGGCCAGAGGAGGGCACGAAGATGATCCGAGGGCTGGAGCACCTCTGCTGTGAGGACAGGCTGAGACAGTTGGATTGTTCAGCCTGGAGAAGAGAAGGTTCCGGGGAGACCTTATTGCGGCCTTCCAGTACCTAAAGGGGCTACAGGAAAGACGGGAAGGGACTTGTTACAAGGGCATGTAGGGATAGGATGAGGGGGAATGGCTTCAGACTGAAAGAGGGGAGATTTAGATTAGATATTAGGAAGAAATTCTTTATCCTGGTGTTCAAGGCCAGGTTGGACGGGGCTTGGAGCAACCTGGGCTGGTGGGAGGTGGCCCTGCCCAGGGCAGGGGGTGGGACTGGATGATCTTCAAGGTCCCTTCCAACCCAAACCATTCTATGATATTTGTTCTGACATTTTCCAGGCAGGCAGGTCCAAAAGTGGGAGTTTGTCAACTTGCTTGTAGTTATTGGAGAGACAGCTTTAGTGCTAGGAGAACTTGATATGAAAACTATCTATTCTGGTTTCATTAGTTCTGAAAAAGAAAATACTGATGTCTTTTTTTTTTTTTTTTTTTTTTTCCCCCTCTCCTCTCTCCATAGCTGTCCCAGCTTCAGTCCCCTTGTGGCAGTGCCACTGCTGCTGTCTCTAACCCTTGGCATCTTATCTTCAACAGGTTGGTGGGACAAAGACGGGAGTTGTGCGCTACGTGGGAGAGACGGATTTTGCCAAAGGAGAGTGGTGTGGTGTGGAGCTGGATGAACCCCTGGGGAAGAACGACGGGGCAGTGGCTGGTACAAGGTACTGTGTGCTCTCAAACACAGCCAGTGGCACGTAGGGTCCTGCGCACCTCCTAGGGTGGCCAGGGGCCAAAGGGGCCGGGGAGGAGGACTCAGGGATCTGTGCAGCTGCGTTTGGTTGGACCTTGTGGGTTGGGAGGAAGAATCCAGTTCTGAGTCATTTAAGCTTTGGGCTGTCTTTGCAGGAAGATCAATAGAAACCTCATCACTGGAGCATTTTAAAGCAGGATCAGATAAGGTCTGTCAAGAAGTAACCTAAGTGGCTTCAGGAAACAGGAGAGAGTAGGGAGAGAAGGTAACTTATAGTGGGATTTTGTTTTTGCTAGAAATTGATTCTGTTATTGTATCAGCTCAGCTTTCTACCACATATTCCCTTCATAGACTTGCTTCTTGCGCTATATTTCACCCTCTCAGAATTATAGAAGATAAAGATTCAACTCTCTTAGTTGAACACAAGCTTAGTGTTGCTGGTTCTGTTCTTTCTGGGGGCACGTTTCCAGAGATCTGAAAGAACGGTTGGTGGTCGTTGTCTGTCCTTGTATTAATTCTGCAGTGTGACAGCTATCTGCTCATTGATCTCACCACCTCTGACTCCATAGCCACCTCCACTGTTTCCTTTTCAAAAAAAGCTTTTCAAAAGTCAGTATCTATAAAACTAGGCAGGACATCTCGCAGGCTTGTTGGGAAGCTGTTTCTGTTTATGTGGAAGTTAGTGAAGGGAATGAACCCCAGCCTGAGATCCTGAGCTTGGGGATATTCAAATCTGAATTGTACAGCAGCACTTTAACCCTACTTCAAATACAGGCGGAACTGATTCCATGTCTTTCACAAGTTCCTTTAGTAGGAAATCCTGTTGATTTCTTGGAGCTTTTTAAGGGAATCTTGCATTAGAGGTGAAATTTAGCTTTGAAACCAAGGAGCTGAGTTCCTCCCTTGTTAGATCTCAGGTTCTGTAATAAACATTTCTTGTGTTGGATCAGCCTCGTTTTGTCCAGCAGCCATGTGTTTTCATTTAAAAGAAGAGAAACACTGCCTTGTTCAATGTCAGGACGAGAAAGTAGAAAATGATTGGCAGCAGATGGCTGAGTTCCAGCCTTTCCTTAGAAGAAAAGAACCAGGATGGTAGAGAATAAGTCATGGAGTGAATCCAAGTCCCTGCTTTCTGCGGCATGAGGTTCCTGATGCTGCCTTGAGCTTGTCCGGCCAGAATCACAGAATGGTTAGAGTTGGAAGGGACCTTAAAGATCACCTAGTTCCAAACCCCTGACATAGGCAGGGACACCTCCCACCAGCCCAGGTTGCTCCAAGCCCCGTCCAACCTGGTCTTGGAACCCCTCCAGGGATGGGGCAGCCACAGCTTCTCGGGGCAACCTGCCCCAGGGGCTCACCGCCCTCAGGATAAAGAATTTCTTCCTGATATGTAATCTAAATCTCCCTTCTTCCAGTTTAAACTGTTACCCCTCATCTTACCGCTACACTCCCTGATACAGAGTCCCTCTCCAGCTTTCCTATAAACTCCTTTAGGTACTGGAAGGCCACTCTAAGGTCTCCCCGGAGCCTTCTCTTCTCCAGGCTGAACAACCCTAACTCTCTCAGCCTGTCCTCATAGGAGAGATGCTCCAGCCCTCTGATCATCTTTGTGGCCTCCTCTGGACTTGATCCAACAGGTCTGTGTCCTCCTCGTGTTGGGGGCCCCAGAGCTGGATGCAGTACTCCAGGTGGGGTCTCACCAGAGCAGAGTAGAGGGGCAGAATCCCCTCCCTCGCGCTCCTGGCCGTGCTGCTGGGGACACAGCCCAGGATACAGTTGGCTTTCTGGGCCGTGAGTGCACATTGCTGGCTCACGTTGAGCTTCTCACCAAGCAACACCCCCAAGTCCTTCTGCTCAGGGCTGCTCTCCACCCATTCTCTGCCCAGCCTGGATTTGTGCTTGGGATTGCCCCGACCCACGTGTAGGACCCTGCACTTGGCCTTGTTATCAGCCTGGCCAGAGACCGCCGGGGACTTTGGAGTCTCCATGCTTTGGTGGTGGTTGCCATCTAGTGAGCATCCTTCGCCTGGCTGCCTGAGACCAGCGCTCGCTGCTGCAGTAGCTGTCTGGTACAGCAGGAGTCCCATCCAAAGAAGCAACTTGAGGCAGTGGAGGCTGGTGGAAGTAGGGGAGCAAACGTGGGCAAATGAGTGAGCAAAGGACTCTGTCACCATCTTTGCTGCTGTGGGTTCTCCAGTTGAGTCAATGGGAAATCACCTGAAATTTGAGGAGGGTCACTGATTTTCCTGCAGGTTCAGGAGGGGCATCCAGGTCTTCACATGCATCAAGGGAAGGATGAAGGGCCAGGATTTCCTGAGCAGCTTGTGGGTCTCTGGTGGAGGCTGCCTGCAGGCTGTGGTTCAGTAGCAGTGCTGGAGAGGAGAAGAATTTCACGGTGGTGAGCCCCTCTCCGTACGTCAGATGGGTGCTGCTGAGACGCCCTGGGGTTTGCTGCATCTGCTTTCCTGTCTGCATAGGAAACTAGAGAGATGTTGGTGTGGGTTTTTTTTTGGTTTCTTAGCCACAAAGCCAAGCAAGTTCCACTTACTCATCTCTGATATATTAACCTTTACTTGCTTATTTACTGTGATTCCTTCTCTGCCTCTGTTCCTACGGGAGTCTTTGCCCACTGAACTGCCTTTGCTTTCGCATAGTCTGAAACATGTCAGCTACAGGCCTTGGACACTGAAGATTAATTTTTTTTTTTAATCTATTTCAAAATTTCCTGTGCTGTTTCCCACCTGCGGTTTGCATTGCTGTCACAATGCCACTTTTCCTCCCCTGTTTCTTTTCTGTGACGTGGGTATAGAGCTCCTTAGCACTCAGTGAGAGCAGCTCCTGGATTTCAAGCAGATTTTCTTTTTTCTTTGCTGCCAAATGTTCTGGACCCAATTCCTGCTTCTGAACTATAAAAGTTAATTGCGACTACTTCCAGTCTGGAATGAAAGAAAATGAGCAAATACAGTGTGATGCAAGTTTGGACTACCTAAGAGCTGTCAGGGGGCTTTTGAGGGACTTTGGCATTGTTGTACTGCCACAAGTACCAGTCTGTGCTTAGACACGTAGAAGGGGCTTTGCCTACTTCAGTTGGAGAACATGACACTGAGTGGGGTTTTGGCTGGTCTGCAGGAGGTCAGGCTGATTTTCTTCCTTGGGTCTCTGTTCCGTAGCAAAGTCAGCCTGCGGTATGGCTGGTTTTCCGAACCCAAGAGCCTGTTGTAACAGCAAGCAAAGGGGGCTAAATGATTTTTGGATGGTAGAGAGTTTTGGTTTGTTATTTTAAGATTGTTGTAGAAAAAATTAAGCTTGAGCAGATGTTCGGAAACAAATCACTTTCTCATCTGGCTGGAGATCGGGCTGTTCTCCGGCCTCCCAAGCACACAGAGATGTGCCTGTGACACCGCCGTGTGGCTGCCAGCACTTAAAAATAAAAGGGAATTGGGGAAGCAGCTGCTCACATCTGGTGGGAGAGGACTCGTGCTAGCAAAGCTGGGTTTGTGTCAGTTATTCATTAGGACCTGCTTTTTATGTTAACATAAGACAGACTATTATAGGGTCCTGTATTTAGTCCTAGCCTTACTATGAAGCCTGTGAGAAAGAACTCCTAACGGAGACAGTTTTCTATGTTGACTACTCCCTTGAAACAAGGCGATGCAATGCCTGGAGATGATCCGGTTTTACTTGCCACAGTGCATCTGGCCAGCAGCAGATAAACCCTGGCTTGAGCTGGTCGGCCCAAGCTCTGAAGGGGTTTCCAAGGTCTGACTCTGTGCGTTTTGGCTCATTTGTATTCTGAAAGAGGGCTCCAGAGAGACATAACCATCAGACTCACTGCAATTGCGGAAAGAGCTTGCACCGTAATTATCTGATCCTCCCTTTTTTATGCTTGCTTCTTCCTAAGTTTGTTTGCATGGGAACCGGTTTCTTTCTCTGCCACCCAGAGGAGGTGGCACATGCTGGAGTTTGCTGTAATGGTATTTTTAGCTTCAAAGTTAGGAGCTGCCTTTTTCCCCTTCTGTTTTGGGAGGAACGTTTATACAGAGCTGTGTGATTCAGAGCTTTTTACTCAACACGCTTTGCTTTGTGACTTTCTTGCAAAGCAGGGTAGGGAACTCAGGCAGGTTTTGGGAAGGTGGGTTTGTCACGGTAAGGAAGGAGTGCGTGCGCTCTCCCCCTGTTTATGTACTGGGATCTTTGTGCTATCCATGCTGCCAGATGGGTCTTTCCTGGCACCTCATCAAAGTGCGCGGCAACTAGTGCATGGCAATTATCTTGGGTTTCCCTGCTTAAGCACCACAAGTGAAACCACGGAGATTGCCACTACTTATAAGTGGCAGGAGAGGAGAGTAATCCAACCGCTCGCATGCAGGAAACGATGTCACAGCAAAGCGCCAAGAGATGAGCTGAGGATGGGGGTTGCATATTGCTTAGCAAGGCCATTCTGCGAGGCTTGGGCGAGATGGATGCTCTACCGCTTCTGACTCGGTGCATCTCCTCTATTACAGGTATTTTCAGTGCCCTCCCAAGTTTGGCCTCTTTGCTCCCATCCACAAGGTGATCCGGATCGGATTCCCGTCAACCAGCCCTGCCAAGGCAAAGAAGAGCAAACGGATGGCCATGGGAGTGTCTGCCTTAACCCACAGCCCCAGCAGCTCCTCCATCAGCTCCGTCAGCTCGGTTGCATCGTCTGTTGGGGGCAGGCCCAGCCGCAGCGGGCTGGTAAGTGGCTTTTTCTAACAGACTGTGCAGCCACAGTCCACTTTTGCCGTGACCCGGCTCTACTAAGTGGGAGGGTTGGGGTTTTGTTTCAGCAGCTGCACTGGGGCAGCTGCTCCTTCACCGTCAATGAGATGAGGGGAGTGGCGTGTGGGATACTGTTACCCACCTTACAAACTGGAGTCCCTTTGTGGACACAAGAGTCGTAACAAACACTGAGCAACTGTGACCATTAAAAAGCCTGAACTCTGTTTGCATCGGGACAAATCTCAGCTCCCATGTCAAGAGCAGGTTTTATACAGGATCTCTGCAGAAAAATGCCATTGTTTCTTGTCCCGCGGGGTTGTGTAGCAGCGTGCTGCTGTGTTGAACAGCCATGTGAAAGCTGCTGCAATGACTGCGTCTTACTGTGGAGGGGTGACACTGTCCTGGATCACATGCCACGTGCTTTGGAAGGTGTTCAAGCAGGCGGACACCCGAGCAGGCAGCAATATTATTCAAAGCTCTGACTCTGCCGTAGTGTGTGCTGCATAGCACCTGCAGTCGTCTTGGCTGGGGACGAGAGTGCAGTATTGATCACTGGGAGTGAATCCAACTAACCCATACCAGTCCCCAGCTGAGACCAGTCCTCCCAGCTGAGCTCACTGTTTGGGACTGCACCAGTGCAGGTCATCAATAAAATACATTCAAGAAGGCAGGTGATACAATACATGATAGTCTTTCCTGACCCAATTCCCACCCCACGTCCTGTCCTTTGGGAAATGGTCCTTTCATTGCACCACAACAGAGCTCTTGAGTTTGCCAGCTGTGTCCAGATGTTTTGCAGACTTGTTAACCCCACCCGTAGGGTCCAGAGCCAGAACAGCAGCTCTGTACAGCCTAATAAATGATGAGGGTAGATTTAGATTAGATATTAAGAAGAAATTTTTTACTCTAAGGGTGGTGAGACACTGGAACAGGCTGCCCAGAGAAGTTTTGGATGCCCCATGCCTGGAGGTGTTCAAGGCTGGGTTGGATGGGAATTTTAGCAACCTGGGCTGGTGGGAGGTGTCCCTGCCCATGGCAGGGGGGTTGGAACGAGATGATCTTCAAGGTCCCTTCCAACTCAAACTATTCTATGGTTCTGTAATCAGTAGGTGAGCTGTATTCTGGATTTAACAGGGTACTTCAAGCTACTCTAGTCAGGGAAGAACATAGCTTTACCCCTGTCTCTTTTTAATTCTTTTTCCAGCTGACAGAGACCTCTTCTCGATATGCCCGTAAAATCTCTGGCACCACAGCTCTCCAGGAGGCACTGAAGGAGAAGCAGCAGCACATCGAACAGCTACTAGCAGAGCGTGACCTGGAGCGGGCTGAGGTTGCCAAAGCCACCAGCCACATCTGTGAGGTGGAGAAAGAGATTGCCATCATGAAGGCCCAGCATGAGCAGGTAGGAGGTGATGTGGCTTTATTGCTAGCACGCAAATATCTGGCATCCTCTGAAAGTTTCAGATCATGATAACGTTACCTGTCTATAGCTTCCTGATGTGAAACCTGCGCTCTGAATATCTGTCTTTCATGTGGAGACAGCTTCCTGCGTGGTGGCTTTAACCTGGGTCTCTTTCTCTACTCCTGCCAGTGGAACGTGTGCTTTCTCTACCCCCAGCCAGGAGCAGAAAAAGGGCTGTGCCAGAAAAAGGACAGTAGATAGTTTGTGTCGGGTGGATCAATACATTTGAATGCTGAAATGCAAGTGGAGGGCAAACTTGTTCCCCTTAGCCACCCAATCTGGCCTTGGCTGTGACTGCATTGCAGTGGTGGGTTTTTTTGATGCTATTGGACACTGCTGAGAACATCAGCGCTGTTCATATATCACTGCTTTCTGGCCAGAGAGGATGTTTTTATCACATTAATAAGGTCAAGAGATCTGTAAGGAAAGCAGGCTGATTATATTAGCTTTTTTTGCACAAGCACTTGTACAAATGATGTTTTATGCATTTGAATGCTTAGAGAGGAGTTGTGTTTGTGTTGTTCGTTAATATGTGGCTCTTCAATGACTGCTGTTGCCCTAAATTCCTTGCTCGTGTTTCGAAACCCCAGTCACCTACTAGGGATTGGGGTGGCACTGTATATCTGTGTGATGGGCCACACCTGCCCGTTGGAAATGCAGGAAAAATTGCCAAATGAACTGCAAGCTGACATCTTCCTCGTGTATGGTATTCTCCAGTAATTAGCAGTAAGAAGTGAATTAACACAAGTCTGAAATGTCTCTCGTCCTTCATGACCAGTGCTGAACTGCACTTGGTAACCTCAGACCAGATTTTCAAAACTGTTCAGGCTTCAAGTTCTTAACTCTTAATCAGAGCTGGATTCTTCAAAGGGTTCAAGTCAGAGAGGCACTGAAGCATGGATCAAATTTACAGCTGCTGGAGATTGAGCAGTTGTTTTTTTTTTCTTTTTGATACCTACATACTGGGCTCTTTGGAAAATCTACCTTCTTACCATAGCGTTCTCTGAAACAGATCATCAAAACCTTCTGTTCCCTTGTTCTGATCCTTTTTTAAACAACTCTGTGCGTCAGTCATTGCTAACTTCTGTGGCTCGGGCTCTGTTTTTACTACAGTATGTCACGGAGGCAGAAGGAAACCTCCAGCGAGCACGAGCCCTGGTGGATGGGATGCAGAAGGAGAAGATTGAGCTGTTAAACCAGCTGGAAGAGGAGAAGAGGTAAAGCAGGAGTGGATGGGTGTGGAGGAGGTGAAGTTATGGGGGAGATGAGGCTCTGACCTGAGAATGTCATTCGTTGGATCTAAGCCGAAGAAAGTGACTGGGAAAGTCATCTTTGGATGTCTTCCAGTACTTCAAATATGCCGTGTTTCACTCTCCTGGCCACTGTGGTCTGCCTGCGTGTGGGGAGGGGGTGTGCTGCTTCAGGTAAGGGGAAGTTTAGGGCAGTTTTGCTGCAGCTGCATGTCTGATGTGACTCTTGTCTAGGGTTGGGCATCCAGTACTGTGACTGCCCCCGTTTACTGACAAACTGCTGCTGATCACAACTGAGCAGTGAAGTATTTCCAATTAGTCTTGTACGTTCCTATGTCTTACGGCTCTTAGAGGAGACTCGAGGGTATACCATTTGGTGGGGTTGCAGTGACATGAGCAGTCTCAGGTTTTTTTTGAATATGCTCAGCTGAACCTCCCCTGCTGTTGCGGTGCAATTGGGAGGCAGAAGACAAACGTCCAGCTAGGGCAGCTCTCACTGGGGATAGGGGCAGCTCTGGTTTGTTGCCAAAAGGAGTTTCATGATTTGACACACTTTCCTGCCAAATATGTGTAGCACTTTAGAAGAAAAACAACAACAGCAACAAAAAAAACCCAAAACACCATCAGCTTTCGTTGCTGATTAGGACCCTTGAGTGCTGGCACTTCTGTGATGACCCTCATAAATATTTGAGAGGCTGCTTGCCTGTCCAAGAGCATTTGCCCATGGGAAATGTTGCGCTGACAATACAATAGTGGCCAGCAGTTGATCTGCCTCTGCCAGTAGAAGGCCAAATAGTCTTGGTCTTCTGCTGGGCAGTGAGGTTATTGAGGACTTTCAGCCATCTTCCCTGTTGTTGGGTTCCCGACACAAAGCAGGGAGAAGCAGCGTCGTTTGCCTGAAGGAACGAAGGGCTCCGCTAATATCAGTTACTCTGAGATTTGATCCCCTGACCAAACTCAGCCATGTCACTGTGTAAAATGGAATTAGTCAGTAAAGGTGGGACCAACTCATGGCAAGGGTGTGGATGGTGACAAAGCCATGCCTTCAGGTGTCCTTGGCTGAGGGTACAGTATAAAATAACAGTACTGGGTAATAAACAGAACTGTGCAGGTTGGGCCGTCCCAGATGTACAACCTGGCTTTGTTTAAAGACCGCTTCTTTCCCCTCTATTTGGGATGTGCTGATCTTAAGGGCATTCCTTCTGAGGGAGGGAAATCAAACTGGCGTACAGCCTCCCTGTAGTGTGATTTGTCATCTCCCCGCATCCCAGAGGCCCCATCCGTGTATATATGAAGATGCACACATTTCCTCTCTGGATAAGAGTGAAGATCTGCTTGTCATTCTTGCAGTCCAGCTGCTCCATATATATAATTAAACTCTTCAGTGGGAATAGGAAGACATTTCTGTGTATTAAGTAACTGAAATCAGTGTTGATTTCAATCGAGTGATGCCCCTCCTGAGGACGAACTGTTCTTTCGTGCACAAGGCTCCCCATTCCCCTGGTAGGCAGCTCACTCTCCCAGCTCCAGAAGGCCCTTTAACCCAAGGCAGCTGAGTTCTTTCCTAAATATCAACAGATACCTCCTCTAATTAGAGGAGGTTTAGACAAGGAAGCTTGTTTATGAAGTTAGATATGTACACTCACAGCTATTTTTGTCTGTAATAGAATTGGAGTCCTTACATCTGGCTACCAGCTCGACATCCTCATTATTGCCCTTTTTTAAAATCAGTAAAGAGAACAAAGAGGACTGAGTTTAGCAGAAGATTGAATTGTTGGGTTTTGGGTTTTTTTTTTTATCGTTGCTGGACTTTTCAGACTTTGCAAAAGAGTCCTAGGCGTGTCTGCATTTGAGCGTGTGGTTTTAGGTGCATTTATGCATGACTGGCCTATACAGGCTCTGGTGAGGGCTTTTCTGCTGGGGTGGCTCACCGTTTCCACATTGTGGAAACATTCAGCATTGCCCACCCTCTGCCAAGAAGGCAGAGGCTCTGATTCCCGTGGAATATTTTGTATGGCCCCTGTGCATTTGGCAGAGGAATTGCCCAGTGCTCAGCTGCAGGATAACGGAGTAAGAAAACCAGTGAAACCTGTTTGTGGCTTTCATGTTTTTGGGATCCCAGTGTCAGTGAACAGCCGTTGTGCTTGCTGAGAGGTGGTGCAGCAAAAGCAGTGTGTCTGTGAGCGTGTACCTTGTGAGAAGGCAAACATTTGTGATGTGGAAGGTGTGTTTATTAACTGTCTTGCTCCCTGTGGAGCAAGACAATTTGGGGAGGGACTTTTTATCAGGGAGTGTAGTGATAGGATGAGGGATAACAGTTTTACACTGAAAGAGGGGAGATTTGGATGAGATATCAGGAAGAAATTCTTTATCCTGAGGGCGGTGAGCCCCTGGGGCAGGTTGCCCCGAGAAGCTGTGGCTGCCCCATCCCTGGAGGTGTTCAAGGCCAGGTTGGACGGGGTTTGGAGCAACCTGGTCTACAAAGGTTGTCTGTATCCGTTTGCTCTCAGACTTTGGTTGTGCAGGGGAGGCCCATGTGCAATGGCTGCTTCGGAATGGGATGCTCATCTGGGTGTTACTGATTTGTGCCTTTTCCCCTCCCCAGGAAAGTGGAGGACTTGCAGTTCCTTGTGGAGGAAGAATCCATCACGAAGGGGGATCTGGAGGTAATTCCTAACAGTGTTACCAAAATGTGGGGTCAAAAACTGAAATTGCATGTGGGGCCTCACTTGAGTAATTTCTGCCACCTTTTACTCAACTCTAAACAATACTTTTAGCTATATTGATGGCTTTGGACCTGCTGCGAACACGGTGGTATAAACTGTGAAGATTGTTCTTTGGTATGCTGCCCAATGACTAATCGTGCTTGGAGCTGCCTAGAATTAATCACGTGCAGCCAGCCTGGCTTTAAATGTCGCCGTAAGTTGCCAAGCCATGTTAAAACCTGACTGTATCTGAATGCATTTCAACATATGTTTTTCCACTGTAGAAATGATTTGACTGCTCAGTCGCTGTCCCTGCAGTGTCCTGTTATTAGCAGCTTCTTGGCACACGCACAATCTCCCAGTCAGATGCTGTTCTATTCCAGCCGAAATGCTGTGTGTTATTTGACCTGTGGTATCCTCATCTTCAGTCATCCGCTCACAAGCGTGGGGTTTGACACGAGGATACCCTTTCATTTGGAAGGACGGTCGCTCAGAGTGATGCTGTTGCAGTGAATATTGTGCAAACTGGAAGTGGTGTTGAGGGCTGGTACTTGAGTGGGAGGCTTCTCGGGGGGGAGGGAGGGGCATGGAAGGAAAAGAAAATACTTCTGTGAAAGTAAGGCTCTGCTCTACGTGTCGAAATTGGGACTTTCCCTTGGCTTTAGCTAGAGTGTGAGGTTAGTGCCAGCCAGAAATGTCAAGGGACCTGCTCCTGTGCGTCACTGTCGGTCATATCGATAAAAGCCCAGGAAAATGGGAAAACTAGGCGATGGAGTGTGGTGCTATGGCTTTGACGCTCTTGGCATAAAGCTCTCCTCTTTATCCAGAAGCTGAAGCAGAGTAATGTGTTTGACAGGGTATAAATCAGGAACACGCTGGTAGCAGACCTTTGCTAAAAGACAGCAAGGGTGGTTTCTGCCTGGTGTGTGGGTGCAAAGTCAGGTTTCTGTTGGTTCCGGAGCTTAGATGACAGGTTTCCCCAGTGCTTTAGAGAGACAGGTGGTTGATCCATCGCTCCCTTTGGAGTGGAATAATGGCAATGGGACCAGGGTTATCTAGCAGGTATATTTAGATATATTTAAAAAAAGAAAAGCCGTGATGTTTTAGCAAGATGATAAGTTGCTGTGACATAAGTGCTCCTATGAGTGCAGGTCCCAAACAGAGGATAGATCTGACTTTCATTTGGGCTGAGGAGGAGTTGCTTTGCAATGGGGATGTGGCCAAGCTTCTTGCAGGCTCCCAGGGACTGGTCCCCACTTCCATGTTTGTCTGTACAGAAGAACAAATAACTTCTTAGGAAAGAGTCATGGAGCAGCTTGGTTTCCTGCAATCCGGAGAACTGGGATGTTCCCCTGTGGGTCCAGCACCAGTGACAGCACAGAGACTGTCAGAGGGCTTTGCTGGGGTCAGTTTTTGTATTCTGTCCTGTCTAATTTGGATGCTCAGACTGAATGATTGACCCGCTGGAGTTAATTCTCACCTTCCTGCTGTGTGGTGGAGACAGGTAGGATTTCCAGAAGCAAGTAACTCACTTAAAGGAAAAAATCTCTCATTGGAAATCAGGGGGTAAGTGCTCCTTCGTGTTGCGTTACGTTTCCTCGGAAATTATTGTCTCTGATATTCTTCATGTAAAATCACAATGAAGTCAACCAGCGGCTGCTGGCACAGCCTTTCACATCCCTGGCTAGAGCTCAACTGACCACCCAAATACCAACAGCAAAACCCAGTGACAGTTGTCTTCCCTCCTCTGCTCTTGTAGTCCTCCTATGCCAGTGGCCCTCTTCTGAGTAACTCGGAGGAGGATGTTTATCTTGCGCTTAGCAGCCAGTAACAGGCGTGATGGTAAGAAACGATTATCTCCTCCATGGTCCCTGGATCTAAGGTTTCTGCTGAAGGCTAGCCTAAATCCCGTGGTATTTTTCATAATAACATGTGGGTTTTGAACAAAGCTGGGACTCTCAGGTGTTGAGCGTGGCAGGCAACATCCCTAGGAGCTCTTGGGTCGAAGAAATCAATGTGTGTGAAGCCTGGAGGTATGGATCCAGTTTTTGGACCTCTGATAGAGAAGGAGGAGCTGTGGATTCCACCTTGAAACGTAGTTGTGTATTCAGCCCATTTTTCACCCTGGTTGGCAATGCTGATGCTATAGTGCTTTGGAAGGTGAAAAGCAGTCACAGGAAAACAAAACCTTTTCAGAAAGGCTTTTTATGGTGGAAGACTGTTGTTAGAGGAAATAGTTCCTTGAAGAGGTTTCTATCTCATGCTCATCTCCTGGAGCCTCCCTCATAGCTTGAACACAGGTGGAAAGTCAGTTTGTAATTTGTGAAGGGTAATTTAGGGCTAATAGCAAGAGTCTAAATTCAGTCTAAAATTCTAAAAAGAGTCTAAATTCAGTCTAAAATAGTCTAAAATTCGGATCTGAACTTCCTCAAAGTGCAGGAAAACTTTGGATTTGAGGCTCGGAGTCATACTGGCTAGGCAAAACAAGCTGCATAAAATAAGAAACAACACAGGATTTGATGCAAATCTTCAGTGAAGCTATTTTTAAGGACTGTAAAACAGTAAATCTAACTTTCTTCCCTGATTATCTTTCTCTTCTATTTTCATGTGTTTTTCCAGAGTTGGAAAATCACAGGATTGGTAGATACTGAGCAAGCTTGGCTGGGAACTTGAGTGCCAACCTCAGGAGTCTTGAGAGAGTTTCTTTGGGACATTCAGAGATTAGTTTGGTAATAGGTCAGCATCTTCAGGTAGCCAATATCTGACATGCTGCCACCAGTTAAGGTAATTTCAAAAGTTTGTGTGGCTGAAGTTTCACTTGAGGATTTTGAGCTAGTGTAAATTGAGGAAAATTCATTAGTATCAATGGAATAATTATCTTGCTGTAACTATAGTAAGTTAAATCAAGGCTGGAGCTCCATCTTGAGATGTACATCCTTGAGCTTTGCCGAGAGCGGAAGAAGCCACTCAGTACAAATTGAAATCTCTTTATTTTTCTTATTAGGATGCATTCAGCCAACTTTTGCACTTCGGTGGTATTATTTGGAGGTTTTGATAACGTTTGGCGTTTTGAGACCACATCTTTTTTTGCCTCCTTCAGGGGTCAAATATAGACCACATAAAATATAGAGTAGTCTGGATATATCTGGCAGTTGAGATCTTGACAATCTATGAATACATACTTAATAATACCTTTCAAGCCATAAGAGAAAACATGGATTTGTACAAACTGCAGTTTCCGTTGTTTGTACACAACTAACCAAAACTTGCGTTATTGTAGGAAAGGGCAGAAAATCCCTAGAACTGGTTCCAATAGAAAGAGGGGGAAGTAAATAATTGTATGGCAAATGAAGGGCAGAAAATGGGGGTGTTAAAAATAAAAATAAAAAATAAATTAATAAAAAAAAGGTTCTGATAAGGTTTGTTTGTGTTTTGTTAGGTCTGGTTTAATTCAAAGGGAAATGTTGGTTTTGTAAGCTAAAAAAATGTGGAGGTCAGAGTTTGCATGCATTTTCCCATGTCTCCTCTTCTCTTTTATTTATGGGAAATTTTACATGATATTGCAGTGGTCGTTTTGCAGTGAGGTTTGCCACCCAGTGCAGCTATGTGGTACTTCTGCTTTAAAAGTGAAGGGCACCAAAGCAATGCCCTGAGTCGACGCTCCTGGATTTGGCAGGTTACATAAACTTCTTGTGCTTAGTTTACTTGTCTGTTTAAAAAAAAAAAAAAAAAACACAACACCAACAAAGCAAAAAAATAGTTGTTTTGTGTACAAGGCTGGTAGAGTCTTGGTGTGCAAAAATCGATTTGAAATTCATAGCAGTCCTATTCAAACCTAAAGCACTGATTTATGTAACAGTTTGGTGTCTAAATTTCTTTGATTTGCTTTCAGCGCAGTGTATTTTTGGGTTTAGCAACACGCTGTGTACAGTATGACCTGCTTTTTTCCCCCCCTCCTAGTGCAGGGTTCAAGCTGTCTCCGGAGGAAAAAAAGAGGATGGCAACGTCCAACTCTTTTCGGTCTACTGTGTGATACGTCTCGAGGAGGGATGCGGAGAATCACTGCAAGGTCTTTGCATTCTCTTGTGTGGTGCAAGGTTCTTGTACTGGTGGTCTGCAGCAGCGGGGGCTTGGCTTTTTAGGAAGTGTCTTCAGTATGGTCTTGATGCAGGAAAACACTGAAGCAGCTTTCTAATGCGGAGGGATGTTTTCCCATCCCAGATGCCATTTTCTTGTGAATAGCCACTACGAGTACCATGTAAAATCCCGTAGTGACCATTTTCTGTTTGGTTGGATTTTTCCTGCTTGTTTGGATCTTTATTCTCCTCCTGTTGTGAACTGCCTTTCCTTG